TATGTTGTACAATTTATCGAACTTATGCATATTTTCAACCCTGATCAACTTATATTTGTTAATTATTTATTTCGCTTGTATATAATGTTGAAAAATTGACACGTAGCAGCCAATTAATTTGATAAATTCTCGACTCTTAAGTACATTTCTTGAATGAATTTGAGTAAACATTCAAGTTTAATTACTTTTTTTTTTTCATTAAAATGTTAAAGTTGGACAAATTTTTCATTCGTAGCAGGATACTCTACGAGGTAAAGTAAGGTCATGGGTAGTGCGAAATGCAATATTCTCTCTCCAAGAAAAAAAACAAAAAATAAAACACAATTAAGGTACACTAAAAAATTGAAAATCCCAAAAAAAAAAAAATTACAAGTTCTTAGAATAATTTTTTTTTCTACCTGTAGTTTGATTGGAGAAAAGGGTCGATTATGTTATTAAATATGTATTTTTTACATGCATCAAATCCTAACAAAATATACCACCTATAGTGATTTTTAACAAATAAAAAATTTATTGAAGTAAAATCAAAACTGCCAAGGAACCCTACTGGAGATTACCATTACCTAGTGGTGCATTGTGCTCCATAGTTTGCAGATATTGTTGTTGACATATAGCCTGAAGAGTTTCTGTATCTTGATTTATTGCTTGGGAATCTTCTGATCCATCTCTAATCAGAGGAGCAGCAAAAGGATTAATTGATCCAATATTATGGATTCCACTCCATTCCCCAGTCCTCGTGCTAGGATAAGAAAAAGGAGACGACCCCATATTTCTCCCAATGCCTTGGCTTTGCTGTGTTGGCTGCAAAAATCTTGATTGAATTGCCGACAGCATTCCCTGATTTATTGTAGGCAAACAACTGGAGTGACCACCTAGTTCTTGATTTCCCACTTTCCAATCGAGAGAATTGTTGTTATCCCGTGGCGGCAGCGGCGGTTGAGTCATATTTTGCAATCTACGATACTTATCGTTTCTTTGTTCTCGTTTGAGTTCCTCAAGCTCTTGTTTGAGTTTCTTATAGGAACCATAAGGTCCATGCACAGGGTCTTGATCCCACATCCTAGCTTCCCAATATATGGACTTTACTACTACTTCTTGTTCCGGAACTTCAGATTTTTCGATCATTTTTTTCAGAGTGGCGATGGAAAAAACATTTTGAACCGCTCTGAAATCATCCGCGAGGTTAGCCGGAAAGTGCTTCCTCAATATGCAGTCAGACAAGCACTTTTTCCTCTGATACTTGCATGCAGCACATGGATTACGATTGCCCGAATCTTCCATGTTGTTGTCCATGTCTTAATTCCCTTTTACGAGAACAATAATAAACAGAATTCTTAATTGTTCGTTCGATCAAGAAACCAAATTTATTGAAGGCGCAAAGTTTGAATCTTGAATCAAGATTACACAGATTTGTGTGGTGATGATAACAGGAGAGTAGAGAAGGTAGAGGTTTAAACGAATAGGGTTTTGCGAGTATACTGGCCGGGTTTAAGATTCTCTAATGCTTTACTGAAGAATTTGAATTGAATGTAAGTGTTAATGGAATTGTCATTAAAATCGAGTAGGATTGAGCGGCAGTAATAAATTCAACATCTATGACTAGATGCAGTGGTGGAGTTGGACTGTGGTGTCCAAAAGTAAGTTTTAAATTATTATTTTTTTTATGTAAAGACGTAACAGAAAAAAATTTAAAAAATATATAAAAAATCAGAACATATGTGGGAGCCACTGCCCCACTTGAACTGATGTGGCTACACCACTGAACAGATGGGCTATTTACGAGCTATTATCCTTTACTGGGTTATATACAAACAATAATGTTGTTTGTAGATTACCCATTACGGTCCATTTGACAAAGAACGTGGCTGAAAAAATTTAAACCAAAACCGCCACATTTTGTAAACCAAAACCCGCGTCATTTGAATGGGTAAAACCGGCCCAAATAGAAATATCCCAAAATAGAAAACTTTACTAGGAATGACAACTGGGCGGGGCCAGGTGGAGAAATTCTCCGTCCCGTTACCCGTTTGAGGTGGAGCGGGGTCCTTGCCTCGTTTACTACCCGTTTAAATTTTTATTTTATTTTTTTAGTTTTTGATAATTTATTTTTATTGCGCATATTCATTAGATTTAGACAAATAATTTTAGTTGTTATTTTCTATTAGAACTAATGAAAATTTTTCATTTAAAGTATTGAA